TTCGGTTTGCCAGTATTTTATTGAGAATTTTCGCGTCGATGTTCATGAGTGAGATTGGCCTGTAATTCTCTTTCTTGGTTGTGTCTTTGTGTGGTTTTGGTATTAGGGTAACTGTAGCTTCATAAAAGGAGTTAGGCAATGACTCTTCTGTTTCTATATTGTGGAATATGTTAAGGAGTATAGGTATTAGCTCTTCCTGGAAGTTCTGGTAGAATTCTGCATTGAAACCATCTGGTCCTGGGCTTTTTTGGGTAGGGAGATTTTTGATAACAGCTTCTAATTCTTCGCGACTAACAGGTCTATTTAGATTGTTCACCTGTTCTTGGTTCAACTTTGGTATATGGTACTTATCTAAAAAAATGTCCATTTCTTTTACATTTTCCAACTTTGTGGCATATAAACTTTCATAGTAAGATCTAATGATTCTCTGAATTTCCTCTGATTCTGTGGTTATGTCCCCCTTTTCATTTCTGATCTTATTAATTTGCATGTTCTCTCTCTGCCGTTTGATTAATTTGGATAGGGGTTTGTCAATCTTGTTGATTTTCTCCAAGAACCAGCTTTTTGATTCATTGATTCTTTGGGTTGTTTTCTGTGTTTCTATTTTGTTGATTTCAGCCCTCAGTTTGATTATTTCCAGTCTTCTAGACCTCCTGGGTGAATCAGCTTCTTTTTTTTTCTAGATCTTTCAAGTGTGCTGTTAAGTCTCCAATGTGTGCTTTCTCCGTTTTCTTTAATTGGGCACTTAGTGTTATGAACTTTCCTCTTAGCACTGCTTTCATAGTGTCCCATAGGTTTGAGTATGTTGTGTCTTTGTTTTCATTAAATTCAAGGAAGAGTTTAATTTCTTTCTTTATTTCTTCCTTGACCCAGGGGTGATTTAGTAGTTGACTGTTCAACTTCCATGAGTTTGTTGGCTTCCTGGGGGAAGCATTGTTGTTGAATTCTAATTTTAGTCCATGGTGATCTGACAAGACACAGGTGGTTACTAATATTTTTTTGTATCTGTGGAAGTTTGCTTTGTTACCGAGGTCAATTTTCGAGAAGGTTCCATGAGCTGCAGAGAAAAAGGTATATTCTTTCCTATTTGGGTGGAGTGTTCTATAGATGTCTGTTAAGTCCATTTGATTCAATACCTCCAATAAATTTCTTAATTCTCTGTTTGGTTTCTTTCTGATTGACCTGTCCATTGGTGAGAGAGGAGTGTTGAAGTCTCCTACTATTAGTCTGTGTTGTTTGATGACTGCCTTGAGTTCTGGAAGAGTTTCTTTTACATATGTGGGTGCCTTTATATTAGGAGCATAGATATTCAGGATTGAGACTTCCTCCTGATGAATTGTTCCAGTTATGAGTATGAAATGTCCATCTCCATTTCTTCTGATTGATTTTAGTTTGAAGTCGATTTTGTTAGATATTAGAATGGCCACGCCCGCTTGTTTCTTAGGTCCATTTGCTTGGAAAACCTTTTCCCAACCCTTTACTCTGAGTAGGTGTCTGTCTTTGTGGTTGAGGTGTGTTTCTTGTAAACAGCAGAATGTTGGATCCTGTTTTTGTATCCAATCTCTAAGTCTGTGCCTCTTTATTGGTGAATTGAGTCCATTGATATTAAGTGATATTAGTGACCAGTGGTTGTTGACTCCGGTCATTTTTTTTTTTTTTTTTTAGGTAGTAGAGTGTATGTGTTTTCCTTCTTTGATTTGTGCTTGTGAATGGTTGCTAGATGTTTGAGTTATTGTAGGCAGTGATGGGAATGTTGGATTCCTTCGGTAGTGATTTTCCTTCTAATATTCTCTGTAAGACTGGATTAGTAGCTACGTATTGTTTAAATTTGTTTTTATCCTGGAATATTTTGTTTTCTCCGTTGATAGTGAACGATAGCTTGGCTGGGTATAGTAGTCTGGGTTTGCATCCATGGTCTCTTAGTTTCTGCAGTACCTCTATCCAGGATCTTCTGGCTTTCATGGTTTCCATACAGAAGTCCGGTGTAAGCCTGATAGGCTTACCTTTATAAGTTACTTGACCTTTTTCCTTTGCAGCTCTTAAAATTTTTTCTTTAATCTGTATGTTTTGTGTTTTGATTATTATATGGCGAGGGGATGTTTTTTTCTGATCCAGTCTATTCGGTGTTCTGTATGCTTCTTGAACCTTCATAGGAATATCGTTCTTTAGGTTGGGAAAGTTTTCTTCTTTAATTTTGTTGAATATATTTTCTGGGCCTTTGATCTGCAGTTCTTCTCCTTCTTCGATCCCTATTATTCTTAGATTTGGTTTTTTTATTGTGTCCCAGATTTCCTGAATGTTTTGTGAAGAGAATTTGTTGGATTTGCTGTTTTCTTTGATCAGAGCATTTATTTTCTCTATGGTATCTTCAGAATCTGAGATTCGTTCTTCTATCTCTTGTATTCTATTGGTTATGCTTGATTCTGTAGTCTCCGTTCGTTTACCTAGGTTTTCCATATCCAGCCGGTTCTTGGTTTGTGTTTTCTTCATTGCCTCCATTTCAGTTTTCAATTCTTGAACTGTTTCCTTTACTTGTTTGATTGTTTTTTCTTGGTTTCTCAGGGTCTCATTCACGGATTTACTTATTTCTTCAAACTTTTTGTTATATTTCTCATCTATTTCTATACTCATTTCTTCAAACTTTTTGTTATATTTCTCATCCAATTCTTTAAGGGAGTTATTCATATCCTGTTTAAGGGACTCTATTGCTTTCATAATGTCACTTTTTTCCACTTCTTCTGGGTTAAGGTGTTCAAGTCCTTCTATTGTAGGGTCCTTGGGATCTGGTGTTTTCATGTTGTTTTTCAGATTGTTGGATGAGGTCTTGCCTTGGTGTCTGCCCATCTCTTACTTCAAATGTTCTCTATTGGAACTTCTGTTACCGGGTCAGGTTCCCTTCTTGGGCAGGGACTTCACTGACAGAATGCCCACCTTTCCTCAGGCAGGCTATTGAAGCCCAGGCACTCCCTCTTTCCTGGATGTGCTTACAATGCAGGCTCAGCTTGCAAGGCAGCTGAGCTGGGGAAATTTTATGGCCCCAGGGTGAAGGGAGAAATATAGGAATTCGTACCTGGATGGGAGCTGGGATGGCAGGCCGGAGGGGGTAGCCAGCACTGCAGGGCGACCTGGGCGTCTATGGGGTCGGGGAACGCCCAAGCTCCTCCTCACTGGGACCCTGCCATGGCCTGAAGCAAACTCACCCCTCTGATGGCCCTCTGCTAGAAGGAAGCCCTTTCTTGTACGTGCTCAGCTGCAGTACTGCTCAGGTGGCCTGCTTTGAACCTAACAGTTTCTACCTTGAAGTTATAGAAAGAATTGTTATTTGACAACTTTATAGTATTACATTTCACATTTTTATATTTTCTTGAAATTGTTAGTGTCATTGGAAATAAAAATTGTATTTAATTCTCCATCTAGATAATCCCTCTTTATAGCATCATTTCCTGGAAAGTCCGTCTTTTTTCTGTTTCTTCCAGGTCCCCTTTATAACAAATCAGGTAGCTGTATGTGCTTGGATCGGTGTCTAGCCTGTCTAGTCCATTATGTTGGTCTCTTGATCCGTCTTGCTTCACTGCTATCCTCATTTATCATAGGCTTCTTCACTCAGCATGTGACCTATTTGCTTATAAAAAATATAGAGACTCATTGTAAACATTTGACCTTGTCTGACTGTGTGTTCCTGTAGGAACAGATTCAACCAACCACAGATCAGAAGTGTTTGGGTGAAAATTCAATCTATACTGAGTAGCCACAACCCTTTTTCCTTTTCTTTTTTACCGTTATTCCCTGTATTACCTTTTAATTACTATTTACATAGTGCTTGGCATAAAGATTATTTAATGTAGAAATGTATAAATGTCATATGCATTTATGTGAGGGGACTTGAGCATCCTAAAAGCCTGGTGTCCATCACTGGTTTTGAGGACAAGAGTGTGCTCTTGAGGGTGGGTTTATTGAGTGCGTTATTTAAGTCATTTCTAGCTTTCCTCACTAGTATTCCTAGTGAGTAAAAGCAGAAGGACTTCTGGGTCCGTGTTTTAGTTAGGTTTTACTTGGTTACTTTAAAACTAAATTACTCCATGCATCAGGAATTATTTCTTCCTTGACCTTAGGGGATTACCTTCTCTTCCTCTAAGCCAGTGATTCTCAACCTGTGGGTCCTGACCCTTAAAACCATATGGAAGCACAGATATTTATGTTATGATTCATAACAGTAGCCAAATCACAGTTAGGAAAGAGCAACAAAGGTCATTTTATAGTTGGGGCTCACCACAACATGAGGAGCTGTCTTAAGGGTCACAGCGCTCAAAAGGGTAAGAACCCCTGCTCTAAACTTTGTTTACTTGCTGACCAGTGTTCAGACTGTTGCAGGCTGTGTGATGAGTTTTTCTTTCCACTTCTCCACCTTACACTGTGATGGGTCTTTTGTGTCAGTTCTGGTCTCTCTTGAGCAAGTATGATAATTTGGGGGGTTTGGTTGTTGTTTTTTCAGGGTTTTTTTTTTGCCATCTCATAAATGCTTTTACGGCAGTTTTTAGGTAAATTTACTTTCACGTATGCATTTTTCTTGTTGCCTGGCTGCTTTCAGTGGGGGAGTTCATCTTTATAACTACTACCATTACTAAAACCAGAGTCTGCTGACTTACAGAATTACGGTTCTTGTCGTTTCTTTACTTAGCTGGAGATTGCTAATCCTTGTCCGTGGACTTATGACTTACATCACAATTTGTAGATTTATCCATTTAACCAGAAAACTTGATTCACCCTTCCTTTGAGTGATCTTTTTTCTTCCTTAGCTCAATAGTCAGCTCAGTTGATAATTTTTCCATTGGGACTCTGGTGGAGTTACCTCCTTGAACTTAATAACCAACTCAGGGAGGAGTAACATGTGTTAGAGGCGTGTGTTTTTATATCTTATTTTGTCCCCTCCTTGTATAGCTTTATTCGATTATAAATTGTAAGGCATTCTGAAATTAACTTATGTTTGGCTTTGTTGCTAGCTATTCTTTATGAAAAATCGTGCCCGAAAGCAAGGTATTTTCTTGAGGCTTCTACCCAACGGATTCAGCAAGAGGAAAGAGAACTCAACAGTTTTTGACCATAGGTAGGTCTCTCACTTTTATTATACAGCTGTTCAGTTTTGATGGGGAACAACCTCTAGGATTTGGTTTGCTCTAGAACATTGCTAACAAAAATGTGGTCTGTAAACTGTCACTGGATGACAAGAGAGAGTGATAGTCAAGATTAGGGAATGTGATGTGTTATCTTGCTGTCCTTTGAGAAGCTTCTGCGATGTTAGTATGCATAACAGATCAGTAACTGTACTTGTAATTTAATCTCAGTAAGTTGGGATTTGGTGGCATATATTTCGGATAGTGCCTCAGTAATGCTTGTGACTAGTTTGAAATTTGAAAGTATGCATTTCTAATGGCGACCACCAATGCTCCTGGCTGAGACCGTGCTTAGTAGTAGTGTTGTGGAGTTTTCTCTGAGATCTAGAGCATCAGGAGAGTATGTGGGGGCTTAAATTCAAATCTAGAAAGGGTGATAAAAGCTAAATAAGTTCCTTTGGTTAAGTCAGTTCCTCCTCTCACTAATATCTTTTCCCGTGTTGTAAAGTCAAAAACCCTGAGGGACTGTTCCCCCTTTAGCTTTGCAGGTGGATCTCTTTTTATTGCCTAAAGTCGGTCAGAGCTGTCAGTTCTGACTCAGGTGATTTCCCATCTCAGCCTCCCAAGTAGTTGGGACTGTAGGCTCGCAACCATGTGTACCTTGGCCTCTTGTTTAGATGAGAATCATCATCAGTTTTATTTAATAACTTTTGCTGTTCCAAATGATATTATATAATTAGAAAATAACATTATTCATTTAGTTTGTGATTTAAGACATAATATTATCCTTGTTCATGGTTGGTTTCCAAAGTAAAGTAATTACCTACTTTTATCAAATGTGGGATTGTGTACTTTGAAACCAACACACAGAGAATTTGACATACTTTGGTTAACTTTAGAGTAACCAGTTTGTGCCCTGTCCATAGATATGTGCTGTGTTGTGAAGGGGCACTTGGGACTGTCATCCCAGGTTAGGTCTTGTGGCTCCAAGTATAGCCCTGTGTCTCTGGATAAGGAATGTGGGGACGATTGTTTGGTCAGTCACTAATTTAGTAGCTTCATTTTAATTATGGACCATTCCAAGGTAGCAAACCGAACACTTCTGCCCTCATGTTCTTCTAGTGAAATTACAGAGATGTGAGGCTGATCTTGTATTTGTAGTGTTTTGTCTCCAGTAGTTAAATACAGTTTGATTGAAGCTATTGACCTGTACTGAGGACATTTAAATATGTTGTTTGCATTACAGACATTCTGTATTATGTTACACCTTGTAGTTTGTGTCTATAACCATGGGAGAAATATGTTCCTGATTTCTGTTTTTTCTCTGGAACCAAAATACTCTGGCTTCAAATCTAATTTACAACTAACTCTGCAGCCTATGCCTTACTGTCTGTGCAGCGTTCTCCTCAGGAGTGAAATAGGTTTCTTTGGTTTTGGGTTTTGGTTTTGGTTATGTTTATTTATTTATTTTTCCCTTCAGTTTTTGGTTTTTGGAGATAGGGTTTCTCTGTAGCTTTGGAGCCTGTCCTGGAACTAGCTCTTGTATACCAGGCTGGCCTCGGACTCACAGAGATCCTCCTGCCTCTGCCTCCCGAGTGCTGGGATTAAAGGCCTGCACTACCACTGCCCGGGAAGGGGAGTAGTTTTAATGTGTCGACTAATGTTTATGTCCTTTTAGGGTTCTTTTTTTCCCCTTTTTAGATATCATTAGTGGAGACCTGTAAAGAATGTGAGCCAGGCATGGTGGTATATCATTACCCCAGCACTCAGGAAACTGAAATAAGGTGACCACACGTCCCAGGCCACACAGAGTATGGCCTGTCTGAGAAAAAAAAAAAAAAAACCTTTAAATTTTATAGTGTACCTTCCAGGTTTATCTGTTAATAGTTTAGTTTCTTTTCTTTTTATGGATTTATTTTTCTTTGAGGCAGGGTCTTGTCCAGCCCAGGCTGCCTCGTACTCACTGTTGTTCACTTGTGATCTCCTGTGTCTTCCTCTGGAGACTGGGATGCAGATCTATGTGCTAGTGCACCGCTGTCTAGGAGGAGGGTACCACTGTCACCCAAAGTTTCTACCACCTCCCTTGGGTGCAGCTGCTGCCTCCTGCCAAGTTAACCGCCTCAACTATTATGTTTATATATTCGTTTTGCCCACTGAATTTTCCTCAATATAATTTAAATTGTTCAGTCACTGCTTAGTTGGGTTTCCATTTCTATGTTAAACACCATGACCAAAAGCAACCTGATGCACAAAGGGGTTCTTTTGCTTACATTTCAACATGACAGTCCATCATCAAAGGAAGTCAAGGCAAGAACTGGAGGCCGGAGCTGAAGCAGAGGCTCTGGAGGAACATCACTTTCTGACTTGTCCTCAGGACTTGTGTAGCCTGTTTCCTTATGATCCTTAGGACCACCTGCCCAAACATGATACCACCCAGAGAGGGCTGGATGCTCCCACATTAGTCTTTCAAGAACTTCAGAGACATGCCTACAGACCAATCTTCCCAGATGTGACTAGGTTTGTGTCAAGTTGACAAAACCAACCAGCACAATTACATCTGCCCATCTTTCAGCCCACCATCTTTGGACATTTCAAAGTTATTGCAGGCATCATTGTACTGGCCTCTATGTTTCAGCATTATTAGCCAAAGCTCAGTAGCTGCTTGCATTCTTCCTTTGATGCAGTAGTTTGCATACTGTGAAGTGCGTAGATCTTAGTTACATGTGTAGTAAAGTTGGTGCAGTAGGATCAGTCCGTGGCCCCACCCATACCGTGCAGGTGCCGTGCCTCTGAGCTGCATTCTCCGCACCAGAACCTAATCCCTGTGACTGCATGAAACATGATTGTCACAGCACAGATTTTTTTTCTACATGCCTCTCTCTTTCTCCCCTTTTGCTGGTGAGTAGAGTTTTCTAGTTATTTGTCCACTGATCTTGTGATTTTACTTAGAGGTCTTCAGCTTATTGGGCCAACTTTGCCTGATGTCACAAAGAGGGCCTCTTGGTTATTCTGACTTGTTACTGGGTTTTCCTGGGAGACTTTTCAGATTGTCTCGTCTGCCTTATTGCCCTAAGTATTTAACATAAGCAGTAGAAAGGTCAGGGCAAGTGCTGGGAAAGAGGTGATGGGGAGGCGTGTAAGTACTTAGTAACCAAGCAGTTCTTCTAGGAATTTAACTTAATAGCTAGGAAAAAGAAGTCGTCATCAGCCTTCCAAAGGAAATGTACTCATTTAGAGTGATTGCTAAAAGTATTAAGTGACTAAAGATGGATATAAAGCCATGCTCACTGCAGACTCTTAATATGTAAAATATGAAATGTATATACATATGTACCATACAGTGGCTGCCCACTCTCCCTCCTCCTTTTTTCCATTTATAGGGTTTGCATTCCAAGCCTTACAGTGTAAGTAATCCCAGATCTTGTATGTATAGCTTGTTTCCATACATACATACTTGTGCTATCATTCTGTTTATAAATCAGGTACATTAAGAGATTAACAACAGTTATAGTAAATAGAACAAGTATGGCAGTATACACTAGTGAAAGCTGTATGAGTGTGGTCTCAGCATCTTTCTGATCTGTTCCCATCGTAGTGGTGGCATGAGATGATGCAGTGGTGCTCAGCATTGGACTCAGTAGCTTCCTAGTGTGCTACCTCACCATCAGTCAGAGCACATTACACTCTTCACGGAAGCTAACTCCCTTTCAGCTTAACTGCAGGCTTGGATACCGAAGTCATCACTTGCGGTTTGAGGCATACTAGCAAAGTCAGCACAATTTGCTCTTATCCTGGACCTCAGGAATCTCAGCATATGACTTTTTAATTTGTTCCCCCTCCTCCCCTTAAAATGAAGGGCTTCAGTGTTTTACTTAAAGACAGCATTTTACTTTTTTTTCGTGTGTGTGTGTGTGTGTGTGTGTGTGTGTGTTTACATTGCTAGCATCACTACTCTTACACTTTGGAGACATTGTTAAATAAAAGAAGCATTAAGTCACCAGCCTCACTGCAACGGTCTGGTGTCTAAGACCGCAGCCCCTGGTGCACAGGCAGGTGCACACACAGTGTAGATGTGGCAGACAAGGGATCGTGTACGTCTTGTTTCATGGGACAGAGCAGATTTCATCTCACCACTCAGAGCTGTGCAGTTTGAAACTTAGGAATTGTTTATTTGGGGAATTTTCCACTTGACTGTTCAGCTCACTGCTAACTGTGGGTAATGAAACCACAGAAGTGAAGCTGCTGGTAAGAAGGGACTACTGTATTTTACAAGGACAGCGACTTTGGGGAAGGTGTCTTAGTCTCTGTTTGTACCGTAACAGAATATCACTGGCTGGATGATTTTTAAAAGAAGTTTTGGATTGTTCTTTTAGGGACTTAGAAGTGTAAGATCATGGTACCAGGGTGTGCTTCGTGTCTGGTAAGGGCCTTCTTGCCTCTGCAGCATGGCAGGAGACAACACATAGAGTGGATGCATGCTGGCCTTGCTCTCTTTCCCTTTCCTATGAAAGCGGCATTGCTGCTGTGGAGCTCATCCTCTATCCAGAAATAGGAACGTGCATATGCGTGTGATGTAAAGTTTTCCTACACAGGACTCTGGCGGACTCTCGCCGGTGTGGGTAGGAAGTGTTTACCATTTTGTTCCTTTCTGAAATTTAAGCCATATGTGTTTGTGATTTTAAGAATTATGTTGATAGGTATGTACAGGTTTTTTATGGTTTTTGGCTGGAAGTTGAATATTTGAAAAGTATCCTGACACCATCATGTGCATTTATCCACACTCCAACCTTGCATTGTCTTTTGGATTTTGCTTGTGGAAACTGTGTTCTTGTTAACTGGGAATTGTGGAGTGCAGAGGAAAGTACTTGTCAGCTGAGGAACGACTGAGTGAAGTGTGGTTCTCACTGGACAGATGCCTGAAACTGCAGTGCTTTCCCCGCCATGGACTGAGTGGCTCCAATTGAAACTTGAAACTGAAGTGTTTCAGATTTAG